GTGGGGCCGCTGAGGAGGGCGGCCCAGCCTATGGCCCGGGGTCTTGCCCCGCTGCTGGGCTGGGGCTGCCGGGCACTGCGCGGTGCCGCTCTCCGTCCGCCCGGTTCTGGCCTGACTCTGCCGTTCGGGGTTTGTCGTTTCACTTTGTCCGTGCCCGGCCGTCGGTCCGGTTGTCTCGCGATGTGACTCGTGCGCCGGCGCACAAGCCTTTTCCGTGCGTGTCCGTGATGGATAAAATGACTTCTTGCCCAAGGCTCGAGAAGTCAACGCCCTGTCAGCGCTGATGTCCTTTCTCCAGACTCCTGTTTCCCATGCCACGGGTAAAAATAAGCCGTCTAACTCCTGCAAGATGATCTACCTACTCTGACTGAGCTGTACCTTCTTGCTCACAGGCTGTTTGTTGATGGTTTATGTTTGCACAGTAAATAGTGTGCAGTAGGAGTCCGAAGCTGTGCTTGATGTAGCCGGTTTAGCTGAGGTACGGTATAGGTTGTTTTGTAAACAGAGCGGGGGTAGGAGGAGAACTTTGTAAAGCTGCGTGAAGTTAAAATGATGTTCCACCTGTTAGGTTTTACCGTGGCCCAGAGGAGACTACGATGTTCATACTGAGTCTTTTTCTTTTTTGGAAGTGCAACTTGATGCTATCTTTCTGTGCTTAAAGGAAAAAAAAAAAGGGCACCAAAACCAAGACGTGGCAGGACTGTCTGTCCTTTTTTCTTTTCTGGCAGTTATCCTTAGTCCTGGTTGTTTTCCCATCTCCTAATCTGCAGAAAAGATTACTTCAGTTCTTTTGTGTTTTGTCTTGCTACACTAATCAAATTTACTCATTTTAGTCTGGTCCTGTGCTATGGGTCCTTCATCTTCCTGGGGGGGTCTTCAGAAGCATGTGTGTCTGGTGCATGGTAATTCTGTTCTGTACAAAAACGATCCCAAACTGAGGAGATGAGCCTCATCTGAGATGTGTGTGAAACACAGATCTAAGGTCTGCTGTTGGAAGGAAGCTGGGTACAGCAAAGCACAAATGCTGTTAGTGCTCTCAAGTGAGGCTTGGATGTAGAAAACTTTAGGAAACTTTTCTCTCTTTCAGTTTATGGAAACTTCCTCGGGTTATGGAAATTCTTTCTGCTGTAGAAAAAATGACCTTTTTGTCCACCATGTATTTGTTTCGGCATTTATCACTTTGGGCTTGGTTTTGTCAATTCTCTTTGCTGTTCTGACATTTCTCTCTGCCACACCTTTCACATACAGCTCACTAGTGTCTTATTTTTACCAGCGTGTTTTTTAATATAGGACCTTAAACACCACCAGCATTTAGATGAGTTATCTGTTTCATCTCAAAAGGTAGTCTAAGTGATCAGATAGTTTATTTTTCCCTGTTGCTTATAAAATAGATTAGTTATAAAATAGTGTAAATCAGTATTTCTAACATACTATCTGAGTTTTCAGTCAGAATTAAGGTTAGACCTTTCTGTATTGAATAATGATTCTAAACTTGATGGGCATCTCTTGAATTCAGTGCATTTTTCGTTTCACTGTAGTAGCTAACTTCCAAAATCCTGGATTTAGTGTTTTTCAGTGAACATGTAGGGGTTTTCCCTCCCCCTGCTATAGTAGGTCATCCAAGTAAAGTTGCATGAAAGATTGGTAACCAGGTGCCACAGCTTTATATGATATCTGTGTGCTAGCTGAATCAGAAATTATGGCACTGACTGCTCGCTTTATTTAAAGATAAAACACCTTTTTTTTTTTTAATACTGTTTGTCAGGATGAAAGATTAACCCCATTTTAGCAATACAGCTCTTTTTCTACACCAAGGGAGCTAAATGTACCAAAATAGGAGGGAGACTAAGCGCAGGTGCTTTACAGAAAAGCTCCAAAGCATGTGCTGCAACTGAAAACTGGTTTGAAATTTTGGGGTAAAAAAAAAAAAAATTGACAGGACCTGGCAGGCTAGATGACTTTGTACGGCTAACTATATCTGTTTTGTGGTTTTTTTTTTTTTTTTCCTAGTACTTGAGTAAGGATGCCTTAAGAAGATAACTATGGATAAATACGTTAAAGTGCGAAAGATCGGAGAAGGATCCTTTGGCAAAGCAATTCTTGTCAAAGCTAAAGAAAATGGACAACACTACGTTATTAAAGAAATAAATATCTCTAAGGTGAGTGATTATTACTAAATACATTAAATTATTTTTGTATTTCTGTTCTCAAAAATCATTATTTTCCTTCTGAAGATGTCAAATAAGGAGAGAGAAGAATCAAGGAGAGAAGTTGCTGTATTGGCTAACATGAAACATCCAAATATTGTCCTGTACAGGGAGTCATTTGAAGGTAAGATTGATTAATACAGTAGAACTTGAAGTAATGATAGTAAGGAACTGTCTGTGCAATACTTACTGCATTTGGTTTAAAAGTCATTTGTTTTCTCTCTTTAATCAGTCATTTCCATACTTTTGTTACTTACTTCAGTTCTTTTTTGTTGTTGGGTTTTTTTTTTTCACAATTCCCTGCACATGTAAAAATAATAGTAATGAAAAAAACCCAGAAATATTCATATGTCTTCCTTCCATGCATCAATTTTGGTTGATTATTAAATGAAAGGGTTATGTTCTCTTGTTTCTCCAGCATCTGTCTCCTTGAATATTTGCATGTACCCTAACGACTTGAATGCTCGTGTATGTTAAGTATGAGTACGGTCTAAATTTGGGTATTGACAACCTAACGAGCAATTTTATCTTTAAGTCTGTTGTCTTAGCATAATTGCTATCATATTATTGCTTTCAGAGCTGGAAAAAATAGATGGGGCTGTTCACTTAATCAAGCTATGAAGGAAGGAAAAATACCATTCCACATTGTTTTCACAGTCAGTGTCTTGGGAAATGAGCAAAACAGATAAAAAATTCCAAGAGCTTGTCATGTGGGTTCAAATACTATTAAAACCCCTAAATATTACTGGAGATACTGTTTAGGTACACTGCTCTTTTCTCCTTTCTTTCCATTCTGCTTTCAAATGTCTTTTGATTGTGGGCTTTTATTTTTTTCTATTCATTAAACTGGAATTTTGTGCCATAGTCATATTGCACAGCCATAGTTTATAAATCCACGCATCTGTCTTCTCCGTAATAGAGGCCTGTTCTTAAGACTGCTTTTTTATTTTTTTTTTCTTCTTACAAGGTAGATCCTGTAATCTGTAGTTTACAATGCTTCATGCTGCATCGTTATTGCTAAAGCACATTGACTTTGGACATACTGATTTGGTTTATAAAAGAGAATTTTTATCAGGAACGGGCCTGCAAGAAATCCAGTCTCCTAGGATCATCTTTTAAAATAATACCTCTTGTAAAGCTTAACCAAGATACAAACAGCTATGAGCACGAAACAAAAATCCTGTGTTTGAGGTTTTGAAAGACAGGTTTCAGAAGCATTCTGCAGGAGTGAAGTTTAAATGACAGAGTCAAAATTACTGAAATCATATATTTAGAGTTATTAAAGTTTTTTGATTAACTCTTTCGTAAAACAGGTTTTTCTTATTTAAAAAATCAGCTTGTGATTGATTTTATGCATGCATTTAGTTCTGCTCAAAATCATCCCTAATATGTGAGAAGTGTAGTTCTTGTGGTTGTAATCACTTGCAATGTGCTTCTGCCTAACCTCTTGTCATCAGTGACTGGAAAACATTGCATTGGGGAACACAACGGTAACTTTGGATGAAAGGTGTTGTGTGTGTTCATTTGCTAATGGAAACTTGCACAGGATTTTTGGAAGTCTCCCCAGATTCCATTCAAAAATGACAAGGCAGTTGTTTCCATCTGTCAATGTCTGCTGGAAGTTTTCTCTGGCATGACATCTGATGACTGTCACGTTCTTGCACTTAGCGTAATACCTTGTCCAGGTAAAACTCCAAGAAAGAATTAGGAAAATAAAGGCAACTACCTAAATTAGAACTTAAGATCTCTATTTTTATGGTAGGGGATCTAGAGGATGTTTGAAAGCAGCTTGAAGAATGGGTTTATATTGCATTCATGGAGGGGCACCTTTCATTTCATAGTGGTTTTGAACCCCATTTTGGGGCATTGGTTCGGCAGATGTCATTTTTCTGTCTCCATATCAGAACAGCCTCTTGTTACCAGAAATAGGAAACTTGCATTGTGAAACCCAAAATAATAAAAGCATTTTTGCTTGAAGTTTGAAAAAAGGACTAATAAGTGATACCTGAGGCTGCATATGAAAAAGTTAATGTGTTTGGTTGCTTTTTCTTCGACTGCAGTGAAGGTTTGCTGAAGGCTGTGTTAAAGATGGTCTTTTTTTTTTCTTTTGAAAATACTTTGTGTTTTATTTTACAGAAAATGGCTGTCTCTATATCGTGATGGATTACTGCGAAGGAGGAGACTTATTTAAAAAAATAAATGCCCAGAAAGGAACCTTATTCTCTGAAGATCAGGTAACAGCATACTGCTGCTCTAGCGTTCTGTTGCGTGATACTTTTTCATGAGTTCTAAATTAATTTTGGTTCAGTTTGGTAGATGTGGTTACTTGATCTAGGAGAAGGCTCTCAAATTGTGATTCTCGTTGCCATCAGTCACAGCAGTATGTTAACAAAAAAAAAAAGTAGCTGGAAGTCTTGTATTTTCATTGGGGTGTTTTCTGTATGTGTAAGGTGCTGTGAAAAGGTTGGTTCTCTTGCAAGGTAAGCTAAATCTGAGAAACAAAAATGCTGAAGGACAACAGGAATATTTTTAAACCTCTGGATTTTTTTTTTTTAAAGATATACAGGCAGAGGAGTTTTGTAATACTGTAATACTTTCATTTATCAGAAGTATAAAATAACATACTTTCTATGAAATATGGCAGTATGAAGTCAACAACGTTCAGAAGTTGATTTTTGCATTAGAAAAAAAACTTAATCTTGTATTGGAAGTATACCAGCAGGTTTGCTTTTTCCACGATACTGGTTATAAGGTCATCTGTATTGTGTGAGGAATTGGAATAAATAAGAGGCCTTTATGTACAGATTTGATGAAGTGAAAATGAATTATGTAGGAGTCTTTTTTTTTTTGTTAGAACTGAGGTATTTTTCCCTGTTTATAAACTGGTTTTATGCTTTTGTGTCTGCATCTAGTAGGATCTCAATTTACCTGTGGATGGGAAGGCTTAATTGTATATTAGGTCTGTTGATGGTATTTAGAATAGGGTAATCGTGAAATGGTTTTGATACAATTTGTAAAACTCTGAATTTTTCTAATTTGGGCTCACTTTCATAAGAAGAACTTAAAGTGGAAAAGGAACAATTACCCCTTGCACTGTACTGAAATTTTGACATATATGTACTTTGAGTTGGGAATGTGAAACCACTGTTGTTATGGAAAAGTTCTTGCCATTAGTCACCTTTTATATATATTGTGATTTTTATGGAGTTTTCCTAAAAAAAGGACTTTGTTGGCTTGTTTATGATCTTCTAATTTTATGTTGTTTGCTGCTTATCTTATTGAAATCTGCTTTGTACTATTTTTTTTTTTAAGGTAAAATACATATATTTACTCTATGATAAAATCAGTGTTTCTATAAGCATCACTATGACTTTCCAGGATGCCTGGTTGATTAATTGACTGCAAGAAGACTTGTATTGATTACAACAAAAGTGTAAACTTTTAAGATGCCAGTTTCATGTCTTAAACATTCTGTTTGCTTTGCAATATGAAATGAAACTGGTCGTCTCAGACTTAGTATCTGATTTGGGTAATATGCATATTTCATTAGAAAGCTTGCATTATAGTGACAGTATTGTTACATCTTTCATTATTTTATGGTATAAATAAGGACGGGTTTGTGGGAAAAGGCTAAAATCTTGAGTCATAATTGTAAAACTGACTCAATATCTTCAGTTATGTAACTGGGGAAGCTTTCTGACAAATAACAATGCTGATGTTGCATTTTCTTTTATGCATAGATTCTCGATTGGTTTGTACAAATCTGTTTAGCACTAAAACACATACATGACAGAAAAATCTTGCATCGGGACATAAAGTCACAGGTATGTAGGTAATCATTTAAAACTGCATTTACTTCCAAAGCGATTACGTTCCTATCTTGCTAGTTTAAGTTGGCAAATTATGGAAAACAGTCTTTCTACATGAACACTTCCAATACTGGAAACATTTTTTTCCCCCTCAGAACTGTCTTGAAGAGATTTAAGCATTATTTGTACAAACAGATGAGGCTACTTGGGTGTTACTCATACATTTATGTGTGGGGACAGAAAAGGTTATGTCTTACAACACGTAATGGTGTTTCCTTTAATTCTGGTGGAGTAGGACTAGAATAAGTCTGGTGTTTTGTAGTAGTCAGGAACACTGTTGCTAGTGACTTCAGAGTGATTGAATGGTAGAAAACTTTGTTCTTCACAAAACATGTTGAGAACAAAAAGTATGCGATTGTATGAATGTTTTAATTAACAGACTTCTTAAAATTTCTATATCAAGAATATATTTTTAACCAAAGATGGAACAATACAGCTGGGAGATTTTGGGATCGCCAGAGTTCTTAACAGGTAACTCCTTTTTGATGCTGTTTTCTTTGACTTAATGTAAATCACTTTGATGTAGGATAACAAAATCTGTGTACTTCCTGTGAGTTAACTAGTTACTGTTCGTTCTTATTTTTTTCTTAGTACTGCAGAGTTGGCTCGCACTTGCATAGGAACGCCGTACTATTTGTCACCTGAAATATGTCAGAACAAACCTTACAACAATAAAAGGTACTAATAAGCATTTTATTAAACATTTTTGGTAAGGTGAAGAAAGTGAGTTCTAACTACATGATAGTGAACAATCTTACCCAAGAAGGTGCTGAGTCTCACTGTGCAAGTGGGACCCTGGTAGGTCTCTGCGGTATGAAACAATGTGCTGCAGAGATGACTTTACTTAATGATCTGAGCTCTAGGTCTCGCTGTGTTCTGAATTGTGGCTCTACTTTTGCCTATCTACACACTAGTTGTACTGCCTTAATTTATGTATTATGAATCACAGAATGGTTTGGGTTGGAAGGGACCTTAAAGACCATCCAGTTCCAACCCCCCTGCCATGGGCAGGGACACCTTCCACTAGACCAGGTTGCTCCAAGTCTCATCCAGCCTGGCCTTGGACACTTCCAGGGATGGGCCATCCACAGCTTCTCTGGGCAACCTGTCCCAGTGCCTCCCCACCCTCTCCAGGAAGAACTTCTTCCTGATATCCAATCTAACCCTCCCCACTTTCAGTTTAAACCCGTTACCCCTTGTCCTGTCACTACAGGCCCTTGTAAAAAGTCCCCCCAGCTTCCTTGTAGCCCCTTCAGGCACTGGAAGGTGCTATAAGGTCTCCCCGGAGCCTTCCCTTCTCCAGGCTGAACACCCCAACTCTCCCAGCCTGTCCCCATGGCAGAGGGGCTCCAGCCCTCGGAGCATCTCCGTGGCCTCCTCTGGACTCATTCCAACCGGTCTATATCCTTCTGATGTTGAGGGCTCCACAGCTGGAATGTGAAATTGTGTTAAGGATGAAGTCACACACACCGTAATTGGATTCTCTAAGCACATAGATAAATAGGTGGCTCAGCTTGCTTTGGATAAAAAGGTCATACAGCTACTTCACTTGTGTCTGCTGTCATGGCAGTAGGCTGTATCTGGTAACAGCTCCCCTCGTGTAATTAAAGTGGTCATCACCAAATTAGTCCTATGCTGCACTGGATGCTATTGCATCCATTACTGTGAGTGCCTTATAATAATTCAATTGGTTTCTTAAAAGATAAAAATCATTGCGGTTCATTGTCCCTTAATTTCTTCTACATGGGACTTATTTTCCAATGGTATTCCAAATAAATTCTGTAATTCTGTATAATTCTGTAATGAGTGAGGGTATGATTAGTTAGTGTTAAACAGAGAAAATTTACTAGGAATTGTATTTGCTGAACTGGATGGCACCAGGGTTTTTTTGTGTTGGTGGTTTGACTAGGAATCGCCAGGGTTTTTTTGTGTTGGTGGTTGTTTGGGGTTTTTTTTGTTTGTTTAATTCAAAGATGTCCGGAAAATGCGTACATTTAAAGGGAAAAAAGCCTTTGTCCATATTGTTAAATTTCACTGGTTGGGGTGGTTCAGATGAAAAGGTCTAAATAAAACCTGGAGCCAAAATAACCCTGTCTGTTTTTTAGGTTGGCCTTACTTTTTGGTCATTGAATTCTTTTTTTGTTTGGGGATGTGGAAGATAGAAGGGAGCTTGTACATACTAAAATACAATCTTTTTTCATTTTTCTTTTCGAAGACAGAGTTCACACATATAAGTAACTTGTCCATGTTACACCTGGAACTAATTCTTAACTATGTTTTCTTGATTTAGTGATATCTGGGCCCTCGGTTGTGTTCTCTATGAAATGTGCACACTGAAACATGCGGTGAGTAGAAACTTCTCACAAGAATTGTGATTTCCGAGGGGTTTTTCCTGATGTTATGCAAACATGTTTCAGTTGATGGAAGGCTTTCATGCTGGCTGTTTAAAATCACCTTCAACGTTTTCATCTCCTCTTCCTATACTGATCAACGTTTTCCATTAGTGTTTTGGTTCGTGCCAGTCTCGCCAGAAACTCTATAATTTGTTTTCAGTGTAGGTTTTTAACAAAACTGTGTTAGCATGAAAAAATTTCTAGGTGTCATAACAAATGATACTGTGAATAGTGTTCCTTCCTTTCCAAAAACTTGATGTTTTCATTGAATGTCTGAATTTGTCTGTTGGCTTTTGTGCGGGTGGATTAATGCATGTAGAACAAAAATAGTTCTTCAAAAAAACTTCCAAGGTGAAAGAGTTGCCTTTTCTTGTGTGTGTGTTGCTCTGAAGAATACATCTTTATCAACCACTTTACAGTTAGGAAAGGAAGAAAAAACATTTTTTTTCTGTCTTGTTTTCCTTGTGGTTGTTTGTTTTGGGTTTTTTTTAAATTATTTTTATTAAAATTAAGAAGATGAAAACTGGAAGAAAAATTTCAAGGGGTAAAGATTTCTTTTTTCATTTCAACCTTTTGTAATTTCCTAATGCCTGTTTTTTTCTGTGGTAGCTGTGTTGGCAATGCTGCCTTTCTGAGAGTTGATGGCAGTAGGTTGTTTTCTGTGAGCTGGGTGATTCATACTGTTTTCTTTTTATTGTACAAAGGAGTTGAAATGGTGCACTCTGCTTCCTGAGCTTAAGCTGAAGTCTGAGCGTTCCTTGGTGGTTTAGACTGAATGAGTTGGAATGCTTTACATTCTTCCATTTGAAATGTGACTTTTCAAAAAAGGGCAGAGGGCATGTGATGGTTGAAAGTGTTTGGGAGAGGAGATCAAGCAGATAATTATATAATTTATTTTAGATTATTCTAGATTTGAAGGGAAATAATTGTTAGCAAAATTTATATCTCTACAGTATGAAATATCAGTGTTATGAGGTGTTTGTGATCAGAATATTTGGCAACAGATTATTATGAACTGTTGATGGCCTTGAAAATTTTGGTGTGTTGAAGCAAGGGAAGGTGTGTTGGTTTTTTGTTTTCCTTTTTATATGCAAGCTGACATGTGGAGGGACAGTAACTGGTGGTTTTTTTTTTGTGTGTGTGATACAGTTTGAAGCTGGTAACATGAAGAACTTAGTACTGAAGATAATCTCTGGACCTTTTCCTCCTGTTTCTATGCATTACTCCTATGACCTACGTAATCTTCTGTCACAGCTATTTAAAAGGAATCCTAGGAACAGACCATCAGTAAACTCCATTTTGGAGAAAAACTTTATAGCCAAACGGGTGGAAAAATTTCTTACGCCACAGGTATGGAGTTAGTTGTAATTCTCATTTTGCTAAAAACATCATAGGACTTTTCCTTTTATTTATTCTAAAATCAATATACAACATAAGAAATCGGAGTAATGGTGTTCCCTGGAGCTTTTATAGAGACGCTTTCATTTGAGGAAAAGATTTTTACTGTGAACTGTAAAGAAAGATCTCATATTACTGAAGAATTTGGTAGTCACCACAAACAAATTTAAATTGGCATTTTCTTCAGTGTATTGTTATGTCTATTTTTCTATATAGTATGTTGATTTGTTTAGCTAAGCTTTTTTTTTTTCATTAAATGGTGCTACGATTTCAGCATCACTGCTTTGTCATAATTTCTGCAATCCATTTTTTGATTGGAATTTGGAATGGCCTGAAAGTGTGTTCTGTGAAATACAGCTGAGTGAACTGATCTTTAAATTTCTTGATGTTTAAATGTATCACATGTCTGTGTAACTTAGAAGAAGTCACTGTAACCTCGAAGTTGCTCACTATTCAGTTTAGAATCTGTTGATGTCATTTGACATCTATTCATGGCCTCTTAATATAAATCTAATCCAAAGACATCAAGATTAACAAGCGAATAATAGTACTGATAGGAGATAAATAAATACAGAGAAAGGACACGGAGGAATTGAATGCAAAAGGAGCCTCACTAAGTATAACGTTCTAGTGGATTCTAACACACAACTAAAAGGAACTTCAGGAGAAGGTGAAATATACAAGTGAAATTTGAATTATATGGAATAGCCTTTCAACTAATAATAGTGCAGATTAAAGTCACAATGAAAGGTAAGATTCAGAATTCTTTACCGCTAAGTTTGTTGTCCTAACTTTTGCTACAGTAGTAGTTTGATCTGATTTTATTTCCAGTAGCTAGGATGGAAATGACATTTTTATTTGGGGTTAGTCAGGCAAACTATAATTAGTAATAGAATACTACCTTGTGATGATACTAATTTCTGCTAGATTGAGTAAATACTTGTACAAAATTTTTCCAGCTGAATCACTGACGAGAGGTGCTACCTGATCATAAATACAACAAACCCTTACACCCAGAAAGCACCTCTTGCTAAATGGATCAATCACTGGTAGATTCATATTCGGCCAGAGGTGGTCCTTCTGTGGCACAGCTGTAATGCCTCTTTGCTTTCAGTTTCATCCGTGGCTAATGCTGTTGTCCTCCGCTTTCCTTAATCTAAGCTTAAGAGATCGTCCATAGCTGTCACCTTCAACGTGCTGCAGCTATTGCTGATGTCTTAATGACAGGAAGAGTCTTCCAGTTTTAGAAAACTCATTCTTAATTTTTGCAGTTACTAAGTTGCAGTAAAGAGCGGATCTAAATTAGCATCAGTTTGGAGGGGTAAAAAAAGGAAGCTTTTTGAAATGAACTGAAGAATAATGTTTCTTTTCTGTCAGTAGCTGTGTTATCATGGAAACACCACATGTAAGGTGTTACATCTCCAGGATCACTGAAATAGCATTAGTAGGAGGAGATTCTCATGTGTGACAAAATATTTTGATGACAGACTGTACACATTAAAAATGTTTCTCTGTCATCATGTGTGGCATTCTAAACTCTCCACTTTGGCTCTGTTTTATATCAAATTTAACTCCTGAGCACCCACTGTGACTGACTGGTAGCCTCTAAGCAAATCAAAATAATCTGGATAGTTCAGGATTCCATGAAGCCTATTCCTTAAAACCTTGTGGTTTAGCGACTATTCAGCTAACGCTGCTGTCAGTTGTTGTCAGAACGTAAAGTGACACATTCCTGGCATGTTCCATCTTTAGAAAGATGGTTTGTAGTATGGCCATTATCTGTCTGCTCTGCTGTTGTAAAAAATACCTTTGCATTTCCTATTCTTTGACTATTCTGTATTGGTAGCACCAGTTGCAGAGCTCAGATTCAGCGAGAAATTTCAGAGCAGGATGTTAGAAAATGAGAACCAGGTGCTGAGTCATCTAAGAGTTAGTCTCACTCCGTGTCCTGTGGGCGACGAACACTGGCTGTAAACAGTGCCTGGTGAGGCGTGTGAGAACAAGGCAAGCCCATGTGACATTACCCTGTAATACCCTCCCAGCCTTCATCTTTTGTTGTCTCAATTGCATCAGCTCAGGAAGCATCTTCTTTGGTATTTAATCATCCTCAATACATTTCTTGCCTGTGTACTTCTCTGATTTCTCCTTGAACCTGTGTAAGTTTTTATGATCGGTGAGAAATTTCACAGGTCTGCCAGTTGTTGCAGAAAGCATCAACCTTGTTTCTTCTAACCCTTCCTCCTTGTATACTGTTGTACCCCACTTCTTATATTGGTGTTATCATTTGCTGCCGTTTATGTGGTTCTCTGCTTTCTCTGCAAAATTACATATGGTATTCTAGGCCTCTCTGTGTTTGAATGTTCTTTGTCTAGACTGCAATATTTTTTTTATTCCAGTAAGGCTATTTTCCACATTTTATTATGCTAATTTGATAGGCCTGACAGCACACGGTATATATTGCTCACAGATATCCTCATATGTAGTCAGCTTCCCATCTTGAAAAGGATAGAGAAACTAAAAGTTGGAAACGTGTCTAAATGACTATTTCTTTTGACACAAGTATGAGCATTTGAAGTGAAATTTGACAACTGTACAGAAATTTAAAATGAACCGTGCTTAAAACTATATTGATGCTCACATCGACTTTCTTCTAGATTCTTAGCTAGTTTATAAACGAGGTAATGTGCCACCCAGAAGTCAGACTACATTGCTTTTTTAAAATTATGAGTAGCTATGCCAAAAATATTTGGAAATACTGAATTCAGCTTCATATTGTTAGTGATACTAAATTGAATACATAGAGTATTCATTTAGATTTAGGGTACAGTAAATACTGTAGCATGGTAGAATACTAAATACAACAGTGAATACCAAATGCTTCCTGGGAGTGGCACAGCTCTCTGAAAAGGAGTTCTTTGTTGCTGCAGACATAAATCTTGTTGGCTAACTGTTCAAATTTTTGTTTAGCTTATTGCAGAAGAATTCAACCACAAAATCTTCCAAAAGTTTGGACCACATGCCGCACCAGGTAAGTAAGTAAGTAATCTTTTCAGCTCTGGAAAGATTGTGTGTGTAGCTTTGTTCTTTTGTTGGTTTTGGTGTGTTCTTATACCTGATTCTAGAAGTTTCAGGAATAAAGAGAGGGAGGCAATTTTCCCCTCTTCCCCGGGGAGCTGGATGTATGCAGGGTACAAAGGATGTGAGTATAAGCTATGGTTCTATAATATTTTAGGTGTACTTTTTCCTCTTGCAGTATGCTGGACCTTGTTCTCACCAATGGGGTGGGGGGCTGGAGGGGAATGTGGTGCTCAAGGACAGCCTTAGCTGCAGCGACCATGGAATGGTGGAGTTAGATCCTTAAGGAGGCCAGGAGGGTGCACAGCAAGCTTGCCACCCTGGACTTCAGGAGAGCAGACTTTGGCCTCTTCAGGGACCTGACTGGCAGAGTTCCATGGGAAGAAGCCCTGGAGGGAACAGGGGCCCAAGAAAGCTGGCGAGTATTAAAGGACCTTCTCCTCCAAGCTCAGGAGTGATGCATCCCAGTGAAGAGGAGTAAAAACGCCAGGAGACTGGTGTGGATGAACAAGCAGCTCCTGGACAAACTGAGGCGCAGAAAGGAAGCCAGCAGTGAGTGGAAGCAGGGACAGGGAGCCTGGGCCAAGTACAGAGAACTTGCCCAAGAAGCCAGGGATCAGGTTAGGAAAGCTAAATCCCTGATGGAGTTAAACCTGGGCAAGGACAAAAAGGGCTTCTATAGGGACATCTGTGATAAAGGGAAGATCAGGGAAAATGTGGGCCCTATGCAGAAGGAATTGACAGAGCTGGTTTCCCAGGATATGGACAAGGCTGAAGTGCTCAATTTTTTTTTCCTCAGCCTTCACTGGCAAGGGCACAAGCCATACCCCCAGAGTCATGGAAGGCAAGGGCACGGACTGGGAGAATGGAGAGCCACCCATGGTTAGAGAGGATCAAGTTTGGAACCACCTAAGGAACCTGAAGGTGCACAAGTACATGGGACCTGATGAAATACATCCACAGGTCCTGAGGGAACTAGTGGATGAGGTTGCTAAACCTCTATCCATCATATTTGAGATGTCTTGGCAGTCTATTGAAGTTCCCACTGATTGGAAGAAGGGAAACAAGCCCTAGCTTTAAAAAGGGAAAAATGCAGGATGCAGCGAACCACAGGCCAGTTGGTCTCATCTCTATGCCTGGCAAGATCATGGAGCAGATCCTCCTGGAAACCATGCCTAGGCACACAGAGAATGAGGAGGTGAGTGGTGACAGCCATCATGGCTTCACCAAGGGCAGATCGTGCCTGACGAATATGGTGGCTTCTATGATGGGGTTACGGCCTTGGTGGGTAAAGGATGCGCAACCGATGTCATCTGCCTGGACTTGTGCAAAGCCTTTGATACTGTCCCACACGACATCCTTGTCTCTAAATTGGAGAGGCATGGATTGATGGATGGACCACTTAGTGGATAAGGAACTGGCTTGATGGTCGCACTCAGAGAGGGGTGGTCAATGGCTTGACGTCTGAGTGGAGATTGGTGATGAATGGTGTTCCCTGGGGGTCAAAACTGGGACCAGCATTTTTTAACATCTTTCCCACCTGACACTGAGTGAACCCTCAGCAAGTTTGCTGATTGGACCGCTTAGTGGATAAGGAACTGGCTTGATGGTCGCACTCAGAGAGGGGTGGTCAATGGCTTGACGTCTGAGTGGAGATTGGTGATGAATGGTGTTCCCTGGGGGTCAAAACTGGGACCAGCATTTTTTAACATCTTTCCCACCTGACACTGAGTG